CAGGAGCATGGTTCTGATGGCTTTATAAGAAGAGCAAGTGAGCAGGTTAGTTCTCTCTGCTCAAGCCATTTGCAATGTGATAATCCTGTGTTGCTATAGAGACGTCACCAACAAGGCCCTCACCAGATGTGCCCCCTGGACTGTGGACTTGCCAGCCTATGAATTGTAAGAAATAAATTTCATTTCTTTGTAAATTCCCCAGTTTCAGCTATTCTGTTATAAGCAACAGAAATGGACTAATACAGATGGGGAACATGAAGTGAATCCTACTAGGCACCAACTTCCAGCTCTCAGGCCTCTGGCCTTGGGCTGAGAATCACACCATCAGCTTCCCTGGTTTTGAGACTTCCAGACTTCGATTAAACGATGTTACCAGCATCCAGCTTGCAGACAGCCTATCATGGGAGTCCTCAGCCTTCATAATCATGTGAACCAATTCCCCTAATAAATCTCCTTTCACATATTTATATACATGTTCTATGGGTTCTTCCTCTCTGGAGAAGCCTGACTAATACTGATTTTGGTACCAGGAGTGGTTCTAGAGAAACAGAATCTTATAGGTGAATTTCTTTAATTGGTTTCAGGGCTGTAGACCTAAAAATGCTAACAGCTCGACTTCTAATAGTACAGAGTAAAACATTATCTAAGGACTTTACCTCCTTTTCTGGGAAAGGGATTAACACATTTTCAGTTATATGCAGGATAGTTGCATCATGTTAGAAATATTACGCTGTTATTGTCCCTTTTGAAGATCAAGTATGGTTTAAGGAGAAAAGTATGGATACCAGGTTGATAAGGGGTAGACTCATGAGGGTTAATTTTAGGTGTCAACTTGACCATGTTAAGGAATACATAGAAATCTGGTAAAGCATTATTTGGGGGGGTGTCTATGAGGGTGTTTCCAGAAGAGTTTAACATGTAAGCCTGAGTGTACTGGGTGGTAAAGATCTGCCCTCAGTACAGGCAGGCACCATTCAATCCACTGGGGGCCCAAAGAGAACAAAAACAGAGAAAAAGGCAAATTTCTTGCTCAGTTCTGCCAGAGCTGGGATACACTCTTCTTTCCTGATTGTGGACATCTGAACTCAAGACTCTTCAGCCTTTGGGTTCCAGGACTTACACCAGTGACACCCTGGCTCTTGGGCTGTTGGCCTCATACTGAGAATCACACCATTGGCTTCCCTGATTCTGAGGCTTCCAGACTTGGATGAGCCATACTACCAGTATCCAGTTTGCAAATGGCCTGTCATGGCACTCCTCGGCCTTCAGAACTGCATGAGCCAATCCCCTAATAAGTCTCCTCTCATACATCTATATGCATATCCTATTGGTTCTGTCTCTCTGGAGAACCCTAATACAGGCAGCCATTCAAATTACAAATGGATGGACTTTATAGCAGTATGGAAAATGTGCACGCAAAATAGTGATCAGAGTATAAGTACGAAGAAAGAAGCTGACCCCAAACCAAACACAGTGCTTGGTGATTTTTACAGCGATTTTGAAAATTATGCCTTAAACAGACCTGTGAGCACAGCAAATCATCTTATTTGACAGCGAAAGATGCCAGGACTCACAGGAGTTAATGATATGCTGCAGGTCATGCAGCTAATGAGTGACAGAGTCAGGATTTAAACTCGGGTTCTTTCCACTGTGCCCTCCATGCTAGACACTCACACACACTTCAAGGATAAAAGTCCTCAGTGACCCCCAGGACAAGGATAGAATTGTGCTTTCCAGAGAGTGAATCTCCTAATTTTAGCATTTTTTTCCAAATCTGAACAGGTTGAGAACTTCTCAAATCATCAAATCCTGGTTCCTTTTTGCTTAATGGTGTTTCCCTTACTTTATGTCTTTCCTCTTGCTTTTTACTATAAGCAAGAAGAAGAAACCAGGCTGCACCTTCAAAACTTTGTTTAAAAGCCTCCTCAGGTAAATATCCAATTCATCGCTTCAAGTTCTGCCTTCTGCATGACTGTAAGACACAATTCAGCTAAGATTTCTGCCTCTAGATAGTTTCCCTTTAAAGGGAATGATCCCTTTTTTGCCCAGTTTCCAAAAACATGTTCCTTATTCCTTTTGAGCCCTCCTCAGCATATTTAATATCTATATTTCTACCAAGAGTCTGCTCATGATAACTAAGGTATGCTCTAAGGCAATATAGGCTTTCTCTACCATGCTTATCACTCCTAAGCCCTTCCTGGCAGAGTCTTTAACATTCATATTTCTACCTACAGTCTTTGCAAGACAATCTAGGCTTTTTCTATCATGGGCCTCAAAATTCTTTCAGCTTCTGCCCATCACCCAATTCCAAAGCCACATCCACACTTTTAGATTTTTTTTTTTTTTTTTTAACAGCAAGAACTCACTTCCTGGTACCATAATCTGTGTTCATTTCCTTCAGCTGGTATAACAAATTACTAAAGACTTGGTGGCATAAAACAACATAAACTTGTTCTCTTATGGTTCTGGAGGCCAGAAGTCTAAAATCTACTTCACTGGGCCCAAACCAAGATGCAAGCACAGTCATGCACTCTCCAGAGGCTCCATGGGAGAGTTTTCCAGCTTCTAAAGCTGTATTTCTTGGCTCATGGCCCTTTCCTCCATCTTCAAAGCCCACAGTGTAACATCTTCAAATCTCTACTGCAGGGGCCAGCCCGTGGCTCACTTGGGAGACTGTGGTGCTGATAACACCAAGGCCACGGGTTCGGATCCCTATATAGGGATAGCCGGTTGGCTCACTTGGGAGAGTATGGTGCTGACAACACCAAGTCAAGGGTTAAGATCCTCTTACCAGTCATCTTAAAAAAAAAAAAAAAAATACAACTCTACTCCCATCCCCTCTGCCTTCTGTGTCAAATCTTCCTCTGTCTCCCTCTAATAAGGACACATGTTGGACCCACCCAGATAATTCAGGGTAAGGATGTCTCCATCACAACATCTTTAACTGAATCTCTCTGCAGAGTCTCTTTTACCATACAAGGTAACATTCATGGGATCAAGGGAATAGGACCTGGATATCCTTGGGGGACATTATTCAGCCTACAACAGGGAGGAAAGAGGAAATATCCCTGCTTCCAGTAGTGGGGTTCATGAGCCTTTGATGGAGTCCCTGCCACTCCCTGTGTCACTCTTCAGTCACCACCCACTGCAAAGGTTAGTGGTTGCCACATCACTTTCCCTCACCACTCACCACCTTTGGATTTAAGCCTCTGGATTTCAGCATTTCCTCCCCTTGGACCTTCCCTCCTTCTTTTTCCGGCTTAGCTGAGGCTGTCCCTTCTCCCCCACTTTCTGGAGATGAAGGCACAGCCAGCAGTTGGCCACAGGATTCCCGGAACTTTAGGATCCAGTGCCAAGTTAGAGGCAGGTGAGTGATGCAGAGATGGCGACAGCCTGGCAATGCTGCCTTTAACCATCTACTGAGGAGGAAGAGAAATGTTAGTGGTTAAGAGGGGAGGCAGGGACAAGGAAGAGATTTTTGTCAAGATTCAAGGAGGTTTTCATGTGGGGGAAGAGGCCAGAAGAAGGGGAGAAGTTGAAGATGGAGAGAGGAGCTAAGTGGCAAAGTAAGGTCCTTGCCGAGGGTGGAGGGGACTCCGAGGCCAAGGGCAGAGCACGAGCAGCACCCAGACCTGGAGGAGGGTGGCCTGGTCCCCTGAAGATGGGGACCGGGGGAACGCAGAGGCCCATTGGTTCATGAGCCAGATCTGACCCTGTGGGTGGGAGGGGGTGCCCGCCCAGCCCAGCAGAAGCTGCCCCTTGGAACCTGCAATGAATGAGGTCAGGAAACTCTCGGGCTCTTCTGGAACCCAGCTAGGTCCAAGGGCCCCCTCATTTCCTTTCATGGAAAGAAAACTTCTTGGACCATTTACTCTTCCAACTTCTGTCCATAGCAGCTGAACCCTCAGATGATGAAGCTTTTTTCCTGGAACCTTTGCTTTCGTGTTTGTCAGAATTCTTTTCCTTAGAAGAGAAAGAAACTCAATGCTAACAGGTATAGACAAAAAGGGATTTCCTGGAAAACTCATTCGATTGGGAGGGGAAGGGAGTAGAGGCTGCTGAGAGAACTGGAATCAGAGCCCGCTTTTCTCCCACACTCTGTCAGCTTCTCTCTCTCAGACCAGCCTGCTCAGTGAAGTCTGGAAACGTCGCTACAGGAGGCCCCAGGTTACAATTACATCCCCAGAGGCACCTGCTCTCTCCTGCGTTCCAACTTCAAAACTCCCAGGGAAGCATTCTGATTCGCACGCTTGGTTCCCTGGCTGGAGGGTAGGTTACTATGAAAGATACAGCTAGAATCCCGCGCCCAGCCCTGGGACATCCCTGTGGCCCCTGGGAAGATGCCAGGGCTGGGGTGGGAGGACTGAGGAAGAAAGAGAGAAGAAAGTTCCTGCTTAGTCAGTGCTGCTCTCCCAGACCCCTTCAGGACCAAGGACAGGGAGCTCCCCCTTTCTCACGGCGGCTGCCCCACCGGGGACAGCTTGGACTGTATGTAGAAAGCTCTTCCTTAAACCGAGCCCTCCAGTCAAGGTTCCCACCAGCCCGGGACACCCCCGCAAGTGTGGAGTCCCGCTGGGGGACCTCTAAGATCTCTTCCAGCGATACCTGCTGAGGATCCCATTCGCCCCCACGCCTCCCCATTCTTCTGCCGCGTCGCAGCATCCGGTTCAAAGCTTTGAAGGAGCACACAGACGTCCACGCGCCGGCGACTTTCTAGGAGCGCGGAGCTCGGCCACTCCCGGGTCAGGGCGAGGCCCGCTCCTCCCGACCCGAAGTCTTCCCCGCGCCCCGCGCGCGCACCTTGCAAACGCGTCCCCGCTCCCCGCCGCCGTGCTCGGGGATCTGCTGGCGGAGCTGGATCGCGGTCCCGCCAGGACTAAGCGAGTCGAAACTGACGGGGGCGGGGCGGGGCGGGGCGCGTCCCCCACTGGCCGCGGCCCCGAGGGGCGGGGCCTGAGCCTCTCTTCCCGGGGCCGCCCTGCGCCTGCCGCAGCTGCTGCCCGGGCCGCCGTCCCCGCCGTCCCCGTCGTCCCCGTCGTCCCCGTCGTCCCGCCATGGGTCTGGAGCTCTACCTGGACCTGATGTCCCAGCCCAGCCGCGCCGTGTACATCTTCGCCAAGAAGAACGGCATCCCCTTCGAGCTGCGCACCGTGGAGGTGCTCAAAGGTGGGCCCCGCTGCCCAGGTGTCCGCAGACCCCGTGCACCCACAGGCCCCTCGCTCGGCCTTTTCCTGAGCGTCCCACACCCCCGGCCCGCACAGCCCTTCATCTCCTCGAGCAGCGTCTCCCACCGGAGAATGCCCTCGGCTGAGTGGCCTCAGGCCAAAGCCCTCTCAGAACCTTAGCTTGACCCGTTTTAAAGGAGGGTAATGTTACTTTATACTCTGTGGTTTGGGGAGGAAATACTTAACTGGATTTTCAGCGTTCCTGCGTTGAAAGCACGCGTTTACATTCGCAAAGCCCTTGAGAGCTTGAGGAGAACAGCGTGCTCTTGTGAGAATTGGGATCTTAAGAGCTGAGCCGTCCCACTCTGCCTCCCCAACCCTGGCCCACCCCTGTCCTGGCTCAATAACTTCTCTTCACCTACCAGAGCCCCTGGGCTGCCCCAGGAGGTGGCAGGGCAGGGAGGCTCTCCCAGGAAGTGGGGCTGACCCAATCTTTGGGCAGCCTGGAGGGGTTCTGGTTCTGGCTGGGGAGGAGGAGGGAGGGCAGAGAGGCGCAGCTCTTGCTCTGCAGACCTCTCCTGACTTTTTCCTCCCCAGGGCAGCATCTGAGCAAGGAGTTCTTACAGGTTAACAGCCTGCATAGGGTGCCTGTCCTCAAGGATGGTGACTTCATCTTGACCGAAAGGTGCCCTCCTTCCCTTTCACCTCCTAAACCCTGAGCCTCCCAGACTCCCAGCTCTCTCTGCTATGGCCCTCTCAGTTGCCATGGGGCAGTGAAGGGAAAGGTGATGGTGTGGGGAGAGCAGACAGCCTGGGGGTGAGTCTGGGATGACCAGAAGCAGCCTGTCCCTGCACCTCTCTTGTCTTCAGCCTTTTCTTCTGAATCCCAGGGCCTCTCCACCCCCAGACCAAAGGGTATTGGAAGAGAAGACAAGGGGACATTTGTCCAGTGCTGCACAGAGAGTAGGTTCAAAAAATGGCTGCTGGAAAGGGTGTCTCCTGACTTCTGAGACACCCCTAGTCCCCATCTTGGAGACCAGTGCCAGGGTCTGAGGGCACAGTTTCTGGTGGGTGAGGTTCCCACTGTGCAGGAAGAGGTTGAGAGGTCAGGCAGCTACAGCCGTGATGGCTGGGGGACCTGTCAGAGGAGACCCAAGGATATGCTTTCCTGCTTGATCCCTGACCCAAGCACGTGGACATTCGAAGGGCTCCATCAAGTACCCACTGTGTGCCAGCCCCATGCAAGGGTTCCAGGGACACAGGGAACCTTTTCTGAGCTGTGCAGCTTTGGACAAGTCATTTAACTAATCTGAGCTTTAGTTTCCTCCTGTGCAAAAGGGATAACGAGAGTCTCTACCTCATAGGGCAGCTGCTGGGATATCACGGAGATGAGGTTCTCAAAATATAAGCAGGAGGTCTGGCCAAGAGGCAGTGCCCAGGACAACAAAGAAAGGAGGAGACTCTGGGGGCTCTAGTCAGGGAGAGGGAGGAGGCAGTGCCAGGGAGCTGGGATGGGGGGCGAGTCCACCAAACACAGAGGAGCCCCAGGACCCCACTGGGGGTGGGGAGCAGCTAGGGGTAAAGGCCTGGAGCCAGGGTCCTTACAGCCACTGTTCCCACCACTGTCCCCAGTGTGGCCATCCTGATTTACCTGAGCATTAAGTACCAGACTGCAGACTACTGGTACCCGCCTGACCTGCAGGCCCGTGCTCGCGTCCACGAGTATCTGGGCTGGCATGCCGACTGCATCCGTGGCACTTTTGGCGTGTCCCTATGGACCCAGGTGAGGAGAACCTTCTGGGAGTGGTTGACCATCAGGGACCTAGGAGGAGGCAGGGGCCACAGAGTAAACCCACCCTCTGCCCCACCAGGTGATGGCGCCGCTCATTGGGGCCCAGGTGCCTGAGGAGAAGGTAAAGCGCAACAGGGCCATCATGGACCAGGCACTGCAGCAGCTAGAGGACAAGTTCCTGGGGGACAGGGCCTTCCTCACAGGCCAGCAGTTGACACTGGCTGATCTCATGGCACTGGAGGAGCTGATGCAGGTGTGAGCTCGGCTGGTGGAGCAGCGGGTGTGGGCAGCATCCCCCCTATTTCTACCCCCATAAGTCAGACAGAAACACTGAAGCCTGGAGAAAGCCAAGGGTTGCCCAGAATCACAAAGCAAGTTTCTGGCTGAACTGGGCCCTTGAGGCTGACCACACTGCCTTGGGCCTCACTTGGGGATTGGGGAAAAGTCCATGTCCCTGATACCTATGTCTGTGCCCTGGCATTGGAGCCTCAGTATCCACACAGCAATTCCTGTCATTGTTTCTACAGCCTGTGGCTCTTGGCTATGACCTGTTTGAGGGACGGCCACGACTGGCGGCATGGCGTGGGCGAGTGGAGGCTTTCCTGGGTGCTGAGCTGTGCCAGGAGGCCCACAGTCCCATCTTGAGCATCCTTGAACAGGCGGTCAAAAAAACACTCCCAGTGCCCCCTCCAGAGGCCTATCCGAACATGCTGCTTCGTATTGCCAAGATCCCCTGACAGGTCTGAGATGGAGGCCAGGAGATTAGCGGTAAGAATTTATTCTGGGGCTGGCCAGTTAGCTCAGTTGGTTAGAGCATGGTGCTCTAACGACGCTCATAACACCAAGGTCCAGGGCTCATCCCCATACCAGCCAGCTGCCAAAAACCACAACCAAATTTCATTCTGTTTCTTACTTGCCCCTTTTCATTTTTTCCACCTTGCCCAGGAGGAGGTCTGCACAGGCAGGACAGCCGGGTGACCTTGGCAGTGCTTCTCTTCAGGTGCAGCATATATACCAATATGATGCTAAAATCCACAATATATAAAGAGCTCCTAAAAATCAATAACATGCAAAAAACAAACCAATTAAAAATTGGTAAACCTCATTGGTGTTTTAAATATAATAAAGATTCTGAACACTTTGAATAAGGAACCAAGAGTTATTGGTTTTATTACATTATTGTATTATACATATGGAATAAAAGTATGTCCCAGTGACCCTTATCATGGTAACCAAAGTAACCTCACAGATAACAAGTCAATATAACCAATATTACCAGGTAACCATTAAGTAGCTAATTAGAATTGCAAACTATTAAAGGATATAGATGAGGTTTCACAGGACATAGTAACAGTCTTTTTTTTTTCTTTTTTTTAAAAAAAGATGACCGGTAAGGGGATCTTAACCCTTGACTTGGTGTTGTCAGCACCACACTCACCCAATGAGCCAACCGGCCATCCCTATGTAGGATCTGAACCCGTGGCCTTGGTGTTATCAGCACCACACTCTCCTGAGTGAGCCACAGGCTGGCCCAATAGTAACAGTCTTTGAAGTCTAGAAAACATAAAAGATTTCTTTCAACAAGTACTCCTGTCTTCCAAGACAGTTGCATAATAACCGCAAACAGTAGGATTATACATTGTCACACAAATCTCCATGAGTATGGCCATCCTGATTTACTCTTTTTTTTAAAAAAAGATGACCGGTAAGGGGATCTTAACCCTTGACTTGGTGTTGTCAGCACCACACTCACCCAATGAGCCAACCGGCCATCCCTATGTAGGATCTGAACCCGTGGCCTTGGTGTTATCAGCACCACACTCTCCTGAGTGAGCCACAGGCTGGCCCAATAGTAACAGTCTTTGAAGTCTAGAAAACATAAAAGATTTCTTTCAACAAGTACTCCTGTCTTCCAAGACAGTTGCATAATAACCGCAAACAGTAGGATTATACATTGTCACACAAATCTCCATGAGTAATCGTGAGATGAAACCCAGCCCAGATATTTTATCAGAGACAATCTAATATAAAGAATTGGTAACCAGGCATTAGAGAACTCCAAAGGCAGAGAGAATCCAGATTATCACAGATGTAGCCACTGCAGGAAGCTACTACTCCTAGGGCTGGGGGACCAAGGGAGGACACTGGAATTATGAAATAAATGTCTATTATTCCTAGGTGCTGGAGGAGGGGCCTCTTGGAATTCAGGGCTCTGAGGAGGAGGTTGCTCAGGCCCCTGGGTATGCCCTTCCAAGAGAGAGGGCCAGGGTACCCCAGTTTCCCAAGAGCTCTTCACAGGCCATGTGGCTAACATGAATGCAATTCTCGGATGTGATGGTAGATGTCACTGCCAACTGATCATTGTGGTCCTTAATACGTTCTGAGCTACTGCCCACCTCTCCTGTGGCCTTGGTCCACCCTCTGCCATTCCCAGCCTGGAGCACCCCCAGCAGCAACACACTACAGTTGTCCTGGGGGTGTCTGGTGTGTGGCTTCCCTCGTAGGTCCCATCCTGGCTGCCTTTCCCTTTCAGAGATTCCTCATACTTTGGGGGCCACCCTAGCTTGCTTTTCTGGGCCTCTTCCATTACTTCCCTGGAGGTTGGGGATGGGCTGCGGCAGCCTGTGACTCCTTTATCCACACTGGCTGCTTTTTGGTTGCTCACAATTGGACAGTCTTGCTTTTAACAGACACTCCAATGAAGTATAAGTAAGCAAACAAAAAGTTAAACAGTCACTCCCGGTGCTGTGTAGATGACAGATTAGTCCTCAGTGACCTCCGCTGAACTAACCATGTTGTGCACCAACATAAGGGGGCAGCAGATCCTGGCAGGAGGAGGGGCAGGAAAGACTCCCTAGAAGTGACCTTGAATTCCAACTGATGCTCTCAGCAGAGGGAAGGGCCCACCCTAATAATGTAATATAATGCAATAATGACGCTGGAGACATGAAAGTGGAGAGTGTTGAGGACTCTCAAGCAGTCCAGCGTGTGAAGAGGATGCCGGGAGGCGAAGGTGGAGGTGAGGCTGGGAAGGTCGTCGCAGCAAGATGAGGATGGACTGTTGTTAGAAGTGACCTTGAATTCCAACTGGCGCTCTCGGCAGAGGGAAGGGCCCACCCTAATAATGTAATATAATACAATAATGACGCTGGAGACATGAAAGTGGAGAGTGTTGAGGACTCTCAAGCAGTCCAGCGTGTGAAGAGGATGCTGGGAGGCGAAGGTGGAGGTGAGGCTGGGAAGGTCGTCGCAGCAAGATGAGGATGGACTGTTGAACCATGCTGAGGAGGGGTGTTAGTCTCCAGACAACGGGGAACTGCCGGCATTTGTGTTGGTCAGTGACATGGCCTGACCACTGGACAGTGGGTCAGGGTGGGGAGAGCTAGGCAGAGAAGGGGACAAGGAGGAATCTATCAAATGGCAGAGACCTCTTCTGCCAGAGGTCTGCAAGCTTCTGAGAGAGGAGGGAGAGGCTGCAGTATGAGGGTCCTCAAGGCCACTTCCCCTGCCCTGGTCACCTGAGCTGCAAATACCAGACGGCGGCCCCCCCTGGTACCATCCCACCCACAGGCCTGCGCTTGTGTGAGTGAGTACCCGAGCTGGCACGTTGACTGTGTCCAGAGCACCTTTGGCCTGTGTGGACCCAGTTGAGAAAGGCAACGAGGGGAGAAGGCACAACAGGGTATTGGCAGAGCCAAGGTGCCCTGGGGAGGGTCACATATTGAGCCCACCCTCCACCACCCCCCGACAGGTGCTGGCTGTGCCCAAGGAGAAGGTAGGCAGACCGCCATTGATCAGGTGCCAGAATGGAACAGATGAGTTCCTGGTTTTCCTTGCAGGCCACCAGGGGGCCGTGGCCTGCCTCAAGGTGCTGAAGGAACTGCTGCTGCTGCTGCTGCAGGTGTGGGCTCAGAACAGCCTGGCAGCCTCCTTCCAATGACCCTACTTGAGGATGCTGGGTGTCACCTCTGTGTGACAGACAGCGACACCCCCTGCCTCTTGCCTGCCTCTGGCATGGAGTGGTGGGATCCCTCCCTGGCTTCTCTCAGATTCTGTGACTGTCACCCTGCCCTGGGCCTCAGGAAAGTGTCAAGTGATGTGACTGTCCCTGCCTGCTGTGTTGATGTCCCTGGAATTGAGGCCCCCGCACCAGAACCTCTGTGTCCCCGCAGCCTACAGTTCTCAGCGGCAATGTGTTGGGGGGCAGCTGTGGCTGGGGACATGGCATGAGCGAGTGGAGTCTTTCCTGGGTGCAGGGCTGTGCCAGGAGGCCTCTGGCCCTATCCTGAGTGTCCTGGGGCTGGCAGTCAGCACCCCTGCCAGAGTGACAGCAGTAGGTCCTGCTTGAAGGGCTAGGAGAGGCAATAACGACCTCGCTCTTGTCACCTGTCCTTGTCCCTCTGCTGATTTTTTCTGGCTCTGAGTCTCATTCTCTGTTGAATGAATGAATGAACAGGTGACCCTCTGCCCTTCTCCCTCTCTGTTTCCCCATCTTGCTTTCTTGTTACTCTCTGTCTATCCCTCTCCTCTCTCAGTCCTCTCCCTCACTGCACGGCTGTGGCCCCAAATCCAAGATGGCAAATCTGGATGGGGGCCTGCCTGCACAGGGTGGGGCTGTCGGGCCCAAGGGCAGCAGGCCCAGGGATCCCTGCTGCCTCTGGGCATGACAGACCTGGGCTCAACTTTCCACCCACAGGCCTTGCTATGCGACAACCTGCTCTGGGCTTGCCAGCCTCTACTCCCTGTCTGCCTGGGCTCCGCGACAGCCGACTCTGGGACAGTCCTGGCGCCTGGGGGCTGCCTGGCCCTGGCCTTCCTCTCCGGTGGGGAAAGGTCTGTGCTGGTCATGCTCTCTCTGCAGCCCAGTGGCTCCCAGAACCTCTCCTTGGACAGGGCCGATGGCCTTACCAGGGGCTAGCCTTATGCCTGTACCCCAGCTCTTCCTTTTCAGAATTGGCAGCCATAGTCCCTGGACTTGCTCACAATGGCCCTACTTGATCCAGGCCAAGGGGTGCAGGGTCTTCACTGGCCAGGTGGAAGCATGTGCTGTGCCTGCGACCAGGGGTGGGGTCAGCCCCATACAAGCCACATGGCTTTTGAGTATGTATGTTGCCAAGGGCATGTCCCCCCAAAATCCTGTCACCTAGACGGGGGAGGGGGAATGCCCGCAGGGCTGAGCACTCTCAACCATGGGAGGGTGTTGCACAGGGGAGCGAGGCATCAGATTTGAACTTTAGAAACCCTTTCTGGGGCCGGCCCGTGGCTCACTCGGTAGAGCGTGGTGCTGATAACACTAAGGCCACGGGTTCAGATTCCATATAGGGATGGCCGGTTTGCTCACTGGGTGAGCGTGGTGCTGACAACACCAAGTCAAGGGTTAAGATCCCCTTACCGGTCATCTTTAAAAAAAAAAAAGAAAGAAACCCTTTCTGGTGCTGTGTGGAAACAGGACCCAGGGCCCAGAGTGTTGGGCTTAGAGTGGGGCCCGGAGTAGAGACCAGGAGGCTGGTGTGGAAGCCAGCAGCCAGGCCATCCAAGAGAGGTCAGGTAGGGGATGGGAAAGGCAGGAGGTGGAATGACAGCACTTGGCAATGGAGGGGAACAGGTGGGGGTGAGGAAAAGCAAAGACTCCCAGTGGTCTGGCCTGAACCCCAGGGGCTGGGATGCTGCACCTGAAGTGGGAGCCCTGGAGGAGGAGCAGGAGAGACGGAGGGGCCTTTAAGACATGAGGACCCACTGTTAGTCTGGATAGAGGAGGGGCCTGGGCTGGGAAGGCCGTGTGAGTGAGAGAGAGAGTGTGTGTGTGTGTGTGTGTGTGTGTGTGAGTTGTGTGTGAGTGTGTGGTT